GGGATGCTTGACAGCATGACTCATGGACAGTTTACCTCATAGTCGAGGTCCAGGTGCTCAAACTCTCCATTAGTCCTGAACTGTTGAGTTTGGTGGTCCAATGTAAAATTTATATTTCTACGGTAACGCTCAATGGCAACAGAGTGCCAGTGACCATCATCTAATAAGCTTCCACTGGTTACAGAGGTGTGACCTTTAATCAGATTGTACTGACTGCTACCTGGAGAAAAGTAACACAAACAACACAGGTGGTAAACATCCCACAAGTCATTTCTGAAAGATAATATATGCAGTCGTTTCACCTTTTTAATGTTCCTACCTAAGTTGATGCTCAGCTCCATTGTTGCCCTATGAAGCTGCAGCAAGATGTAGTCTCCTTGCTGTCCCTCCCCATAAAGCAGCACACCATCTCTGGCAGTGGTTTTAAATTTTAGAGAAATAACATCTTTCACAGTTTTCATCTTTTTACTCCTGAAGCGATAAGAGATTATGCTATGGCCATCAAAACTGATAACATCAGCCCCTTTGAGACATAGGAAAAAGAAAGTCAAATTCAATATTTTGCATAAGGAATTAATCTGGAATCACAACCCAGCAAATGTCTAAGAGTGCTAACCTAAGAGTGTTGGTAGTTATTCATAAATTAGTTCTGCTTTATATGAAAAAATCTCCAGGTACTTTAAAAATTAAAGGGTCCAGTTAATTTTCAGCAATACACAATAATTGTATTATATTCAGGCTATCACAGTTCACAATTTTTACACAGTTTGTTCCTTTGTGCATTTCTACTTACAATATGAACAGCCATAGAGTTCCAAGCGGACTCCGATCCGCCCCTTTTGGCTCCAGTGCAGTGGGATGAGGCGGATGTAGCGGGCCACTATGGCATGTTGTAATTCTTCACGTACAACATCTTCACTGTTATTATTCCCCTTAAATGTCTGAAACACGTGATTAATATTAGGCTATTTTATGTTCTCTCATTTTTCTGCTGCAATAAAATACATTTCCATTGTTGTGTTTTGCTCTGTTTGGAAGAAAGGTTTCAAGGTCTTAGAAAATTTTACTTTGATGAGCTGGAAATACTGTTCTGTTACATGACATATATTACTTATATGTCATATACGTAACACGACATGTTACTTGATGTCAAGGTTCTTAGCATCAAGAATCTTGATGTTACCGGTTCTCTGTAGCTATCCACCAGCCTTTCGATGACTTAGAAAAAGAAGAGTTTTGGGTTGTGACTGCTGAACTAAGTGATAAAAGTTCCTCATCAGGTCCCTGCGAGTCAGTACAGTAATCAATCCCTTTAATTTACTAAATGGCTAGAATGTATCAGACTGACAATTATGACCTGGAGTCACATAGCAGTCTTCTTCTTTTCCTTTTGGCTTTTTCCCTTTAGGGGTCGCCACTGCGAGTCATCCGTCTCCAGGTAACCCTATCTTCCGCATCTTCTTCTATCACACCAACTACCTTCATGTCCTCTTTCACTCCATCTATAAATCTCCTCTTTGGTCTTCCTCTAGGTCTCTTTGCTGGCAGGTCCATTCTCAGCATCCTTCTACCAATGTATTCAGTGTCTCTCCTCTGTACATGTCCAAATCATCTCAATCTGGCTTCTCGGATTTTATCTCCTACACATCTGACATGAGCTGTTCCTCTGATGTATTCAATTCTGATCTTATCCATCCTTGTCACTCCCAAAGAGAACCTCAACATCTTCATCTCTGCTACCTCCAGCTCTGCCTCCTGCCTCTTCGTCATTGCCACTGTCTCTAAACTGAACAGAATTGCTGGTCTCACTACTGTCTTGTACACCTTTCCCTTCATTCTTGTTAATACTCTTTAATCACATATCACACCTGACACTTTTCTCCACCCAGTCCACCCTGTTTGAACACGTTTTTTCACTTCTTTTCCACATCCACCATTGTTCTGGACTGTTGACCCTAAGTACCGTATATTCTGCACTATAAGGCGTACCTAAAAACCTTCAATTTCCTCAAAAGCCGAAAGTGTGCCTTATAATCCGGTGTGCCTTATATATGGACCAATATTGAGCCACAACAGGTATAGCAACTATGGTAAGCAGCCGCCGACTTCATTTTCACCCGTAGAAGAGGAAGCGAGCGGTGCATGCTGGGATAGTTGACAGAACGCTGGTTTGTAATCTATTAATAAAGTTTGACTGACCCATCTACCTTCCGACAGTCTAGAATCAGGTCGTCTGCAGGTCATTTAGCACCACCTTCTCCACAAACATGCTGTGCGCGAACGGAGAAGGGTGACCATCGTCCAGCTACGCCCTGGCCCAGTCGTGGAAGGCTCTCCTCGCCGACCAGAGTCGGGCTGTTTTGTTGACATTCCCTTTAGTGCAGTTCCATCTAGTGGATGCATAACGTAACTCCAGCCTCTACTGAAGCATCTATTCTATGTGCCTTATAATGCAGTGCGCTTTATATATGAAAAAAGTTTAAAAATAAATACTGTACTTAAAATCTTTCACTTTCTTTATTTCTGTTCCCAGTAACCTCATGTCTCCACTTGGGTCTCTCTTGTTCACACACATGTATTCTGTCTTGCTATGGCTAACCTTCATTCCTCTCCTTTCCAGGACAAGCCTCCATCTCTTGAGATTTTCCTCCACCTGTTCTCTGCTCTCACCACAGATCACAATGTCATCTGCAAACATCACAGTCCATGGAGATTCCTGTCTAACCTCATCTGTCAACCTGTCCATCACCACAGCAAATAGGAAAGAGCTCAAAGCCGATCCTTGGTGAAGTCCCACTTCCACCTTGAGCTCCTCTGTCACTCCTACAGCACACCTCACCACAGTCTTACAGCTATAATACACGTACTTCACCACTCTAACATATTTTTCTGTTACTCCAGACTTCCTCATGCAGTACCACAGCTCCTCTCTTGGAATCCTGTCATATGCTCTCTCTAGGTCTACAAAAACACAATGCAGCTCCCTCTGACATTCTCTGTACTTTTCCATCAACACCTGCAATGCAAAGATTGCATCTGTAGTACATTTTCTTGGCATGAAACCATACTGCTGCTCACAGATGTCCACTTCTGACCTCGGTCTGGCTTCAACAACTTTTTCCCATAACTTCATTGAAAGACTCATCAACTTTATACCTCTGTAGTTGCCACAATTTTGGACACCTCCCTTGTTCTTGAAAATTGGTACCAGCACACTTCTCCTCCATTCCTCAGGCATCCTCTCACTCTCTAGGATCTCATTGAATAGCCTTGACAAAAACTACTGCTGGCTCTCCTAGACACTACCATACCTCCACAGGTATGTCATCTGGACCAACTGCCTTTCCACTCTTCATCCTTTTCAATGCCTTCCTGACTTCATCCTTACTAATCTTTGCTGCTTCCTGATTCACAGGCGCAGCTTCTTCTCCTCTTTGTTCTCTCTCATTTTTTTCATTCATCAACTTTTCAAAGTACTCCTTCCATCTTCTTATCACACTTTTTGCATCTGTCAGTAGAGTTCCATCTTGGTCCTTAATCACCCTAACCTGTTGTACATCCTTTCCATCTTTATCTCTCTGCCTCGCCAACCTATATAAGTCCTTCTCTCCCTCCTTACTCTCCAGCCTATTATACAAGTCAGTGTATGCACCTTGTTTAGGCTAAGCTACATCTACCTTCTCTTCTCCCTGTATTCTTAGTGACTCTCTTCGGTCCTCACATTGTCCCACTTCTTCTTGGCTGCTCTCTTTCTCTGTACCCATATTTGCACTTCCTTATTCCACCACCAAGTTTCCTTGTCAACTTACCTTCCAGAACACATACGTAGTACTCTCCTACCTGTCTTCCTGATAACATGAACAGTGATCAATATAGTAATCAATCCCTTTAATTTACTAAATGGCTAAAAATGTATCAGACTGACAGTTATGACCTGGAGTCACATAGCAGTATATGTGAGAAAATACTGCTATGAGAGTAAACGGAGAGCTCAAATTTTTGCAATCTCTGAGACTGATTTTTGCAATTCCAGAGGCTGAAATTAATGTATTAATTTATTAAGGAATTAATTTATTGAGACTAGTTTTAAATCTTCCACAATTGAAGGACCACTGAATATTTTCTTAAGTTTCTGAAATTTGATAGTACCACACAAAGAACAGTTAGAATATAGTGAAAAACCCAATGATTTGTCACTCATTTCAAAAAGTGAAACTTATGTATTATAAATATTCATTCCACATAGAGTAAAATATTTTATTTCTGTAGTTTCTGTTGCAATAAATTATATTGTATTTCTATTTCTTGTAATTAGATGATTGGCGTCCACTTTATAGTTCCAGTCAGCAGTGCTCACCATCTATTTCAAGGTTCTTTATTATTAGATTCTTAAAAAGTTATGTTTTATGGAAGACATACCAGTTACTAGTTAGTGTTAAGTTACACATTATCACTTAGTAGTCATTATTTCAGAACAAAAGACATTAACAGATCATGCAGCATAATGATTGTGTGGGGTTTAGAGACAGAATGTTAACTCTGCTAGAGGGTTATAGTTACTCAAGTAGTCACGCTTTATTTTGTGTGTTGTTATGACTGAACCATATTTCTGATGGCTTTTGATATTGTTTTGTAATGAATTGGAGATATTTTAGGATACTTGAAATTAATATGGATTTTAATTGGCTGCATTTAAATTAAACCTGTTTTTGCTTAAAGAATGAGATGACATTTGCTGTAAATTTGATGTTATATCAATAAAATGAACTAACTTAATTTAAAATAAAACTGTTCAAACTACATGCGTCTCTGTGTGACAAGACTGCTTTTTTTTCTGCAAATAAAATTTTCATTTTAATCTTACCCAAATGTTTCCATCCTTTAAATATGGTCTCCAGTTGTTGGCTGCGTCACTATAAAGCAGCTGGTACTGACTTGTCCAGTCGGAGCTTCTGTAGCGTCCCTGAGTTGCTATGGAAACTACTTGCTTCCTAGAGCCCAGGTCTACCTGCAGCCACTGGTAACGATTTGTATCCAAAGGTGACCAGCCTCCGGCGCCTAGGTGTTGGGTTGTTCAGAGTGAGAAATGTTAAAAACAGGGGAGGAAGAAAAAAAAATAATTAATCTACTCCTACATTTTCTCTGAGGTATGACTCAGTTTTCACAAATCTTTCTCCTGTTTTTTATCTAATCCATTTGTCTTTCCTTAACTAATGGCTCTATTCTCATAGCTATGGAGCTCATGAACATTTTATCTCTGCTTTCAACAAATTCAGTTGCTATAATCAAGGCCAAAAACACAAACTCCTGACAAGAGCCATGGCTCAATCAATCTAACCATTGAGCAGTGAGTGTGCTACAATAAATTGTGAATTAACAATAGGCAAGCTCCAGATCCAGGTGTTTATATATAGCTAAAAAAACATAACATCTAGGAAAAAAATATTTCTAACCATATTTACACTTTCTTTTAGTGTTTTTTCTTACACTAGTGGTCTTTATTTACAGTTTCCATGAAGCAAAGGTCCAAGAGTTGGGAACTGAACTCCAGACAGGGGCGTCCGCTTTTCCTATATATCACTTACCACTCTAAGCTCCAGGTCTAGAGATTGGAGGGCTTCTTTACCATCTCTTAGATTTAAGTTGAGACTCCGGCTTAGCCTCTCCAAAACAATAATACTTTGAGTCAGGAAAAGCTTGTTGGAGAATTTGAAACCAGCCACTGGCGAGCAAAAAACAAACAAACAAAAAATACACTCAATTTGAGTTCTTCACTAATATCTTGTTTTGAGATGTGCAGGCACATGCAGGGGGTGGGAGGGCTAGGGGTTCTTGAGCACCTGCCCCTTTTGCTCCTTGCCCCCACGTGCCCTTTTGATCATTTTTTTTTGTGTTATTATTTCCTAAGCCCTCTTCTGACACATAATAACATGTACTAAAATTATTAGTTTTTTTGTTGGGGTTTTTTTGTACAACATAATAAGCCGGTCACCTTGTTACCTTTGACCTTTTGCCCATGACACATGACGCAGTTGCCTCTCACACAGTGAGATAAGGTGGCTAACTGCGGAGCTCAACATACCGAACGTTCCAGATTACAGAACACTTTTTGGTGAATTAAAAAAAACAACAACAAAAAAAAAAAACGTTTTTGGTGAATAAAGTGGAGTAGACTTTCTACTCGTCAGGTAACGGAAAACGTTGAAGTATCGTTTCTGCTTCAGCACGGAGTAGCGATTTAAGCAGAGAGGTAATGAAATACAGCAGACACTAACAGGCCTCTGCGTCTGGCTTACTCTGAAGAACTACTGAGCAGGAGGAGACAGGTGAGGAAAAACTGTTCTTATCTATCGATTCAGTATTTTTATTATACAGACATTAGGATGTTGTTGTTGTGCTATTAGCTAGCTGCTAGCTAACAACTTTGCTAGCAAAGCAAGATGACTGAAAAGTTTCTTCCCTGTATCGTTAATGATATCAGTCATTCTTCAGTATCGCTTATGCAATAGGGGCACATCGCCCGTCCAAAACCGATCATCTCCATAATGGATACATGTCTTCTAATTTCCTTTGCTGCATAATGTACATTGCATTTATTCTGGTGTTAGGTAAATGTATCTTGAAGGAGAATAGCACTTAAATGAAAGTCCAACAAGGATATTCATTTAGAATTAAAAATAACTCACCCTGAATTACCATGATAGATATAATGTATGTAATAAAAGTGTGTCATTAATGAAGGGGATAAAACTCAATCCAGACTTTAAGTTTAGGGTCTGTTTCGCAGAGTATGCAGTTAAATTTTTTCCCCAATTATTCAATGAAGAAAAAAAAACTAACCTCAGTTAAATAAAATAAAATTGCAATCAAAACTTTTGGAATTGTATTGATTCCTTAAAAAAAAAAAACTAAAAGTTTTGTTAAAAAACTTTTTTTTTAATTAAATAACTCATTTTTGTCTTGTGAACTGAAAAAGTTATTTGCCAAACAAACTTTTATTTGCACACATCAGAAATCTTTTGTTGCAATTTTGGGCCGTGTCCCCGACGTCATGTGAGAATCACAAGCAAAACTTGACTGTCATGACACTTTCATAAACATGACATACCACATGTCATAAACATGAATAAGCCTTCATGAATATTTATGACTGTCATAAAGCGTCATTCGATAAATTATGACACTTTTAATACAAAGTTGACATTATTCAAAATGTCTTTGTTATGACAACTTGACATTAACCAAGAAATCATTATTGATATAAATTTGTTATAAAAGTATTACTGTTTAAACTTTACCTTTTATAACATAAAGTTACCTGATTTTTAAAGTGCAATCATGATGGTATGATAAATTATTTGGTAACTGGATCCTGAAACGAATTATCATCCTTTGGTAGATTCTGACATTTTTTGCCTTAAGTGAGGCAGACTACTATCCTGACCCTAGACCAGTGTTTCTCAATTCTGGTCCTCAGGGACTACTGCCCTGCATATTTTAGATGTGTTCCTTTTCTAGACCACCTGATTCAAATGATTGCATGCAATCAAGTACAGCAGAAGAATGACTTATTAAAGTCAGGTGTGTGGCAGTAGGGAAACATCTGAAACATGCCATTCAGTGGTCCCTGAAGACCAGAACTGAGAAACATTACCCTAGACCAGTACTTCTCAAATAGTGGGACGCCCCCCCCCCACCCAGGGGGGCGTGGCGAAGTGGGGGGGGCTCGGCTCGAGAAGCAGGACTTTATAATTGTTATTCATGTTAACTGATAAACAAGCCTCCGACCAATAGGTGGCAGCACTGTTCAAACTAATCAACAGCCTACCTGTTCAAGCCAGTAGAAGTAGCCACAGCACTGTTGTAAACGGAACAGAAGAAAAAAACAACAAAAAAACGAAGCTAAGGATACAAGCGAGGATGTTTTGAAATATATCTATCTAGAGGAGAGATGGAGAAGTTTGATAGTGAAAAGAAAAAAAGCAGCAGAGGTCAATGGCCAGGATAAGAGATTCTTATTTTCGAATACAAGAATACAGTCATAATACTACTAGAACCCAGTCGTATCAACAGAGTAATTTAAAGACGCAATATTGCCAGAAGAAAGTCGTTATATTAAAAAGCTTCGATAGAGTGATATGCAACGTGACCCACTCAGCAAGTCTGGTTCTTTCTGTTAAATAAAAAGTTGTGTAAGCAATGGTTTCAAAGACCTGGGGCTGAAAATTTGCTTCTGATGTGCTAAAACATTTAGTACTTAGTAATTTGTTAAACCAGTACCAACTATAACCTTACAGGATCTGTATTCCGCAATTTAGCGCACTATGGTGAAAAGCTGTCATAAAATTAGTCTTTATTCTCGTCCAACTTTACTCGTATTTAAAACACAAATCAAAAACTCAGAGCCCGGCACTTATACTCCATCAAAAGCAAGTAACTGTAGCTCGCAGAAAAAGGCCAGGGAATAGACAAAACCTGTCTTTTTATTGTTAATGCAAAACTGTTATAAACTTTTCATTTCTTCTCATCTGACAAGCTGAACTATTAGCAATATTGCTGCAAAATTTTCCACAATAAATGTTAAGAACTATATACCTTGATATACCTTGTGGAAAACTAAACTGAAGAAGCTGACAAGTAATCAGTGCTTACAGTTCTAAAAAGTTTTACTATATTAAGTCTAAAAATGCAAATCCCAGTGAATCATTTGCACTTTTTCAAACTGAGTAGTCTTAATTAATTGTTAGTGATTCACTCAAACTGATTTTGGAAATTATTTTGAGGCTGACAATAATAAAACAGCGGTTTCGATAATAAGGTCATACAATGTTGGAGCCAGTGGTTTGTACAATAAATTATTAAATATGAACAGATTTCGCAATTTAATAGTATTTAAATTCTGGGGAGGGAAGGGCACTGAGCAGGGGGGGTCGCGAAAAAAATTATGATCCCTAGAGGGGGCATGACAGAAAATAATTGAGAAACACTGCTCTAGACCTATCAAAGTCATGAACATAGGAAGCAGTTTTAGCGTCTTCTGAGGTTTTCTCAATAGAAGTTTCAAACACAACATTTACTGACTTTTATTGCAGACTTAATTTCCAGTAGACAGAACAGAATTACTAAAGTCAGGTCAGACCTGAAGGGAAAATATTAAAAGCGCAAGGGGGCAGAAAATACAACATCCATTCATGTTGTAGACAGAATATAAGCTCTGTCCTGTCCTATGTCCAGTTACATAAGCCTTTATCCAGGATTGTCACTTTGGAACATTTCAGAACATCCTGTCATTGTGTAATCTATTTGTGTTTGTAATGTTTCACAAAACACTGAGGAGTTAAAATTGATCTATCAATGTTATACCTCCAATTCACCACCAGGGGTAATAATAAACCCACAACCACTATGAATTATAAGGCGTAATGCTATTGCAAAAAAGGTGAGATGTAGAGCAAAGCAGACAACAATAACTATACAGTCTGTGAGTGAACTCAGTGCAGAGACATGCAGTGTATGTCTGACTTCAGTAATGTGCAGTACACAGTTGATTGCTAAATATTACAGTAATCATACTAATTTATAATGAGCCCCCATTTTACTCAGGTTTCTCTAATGTCCTCGCCACCCGCTTTGAGCATTAGTTGGCGCAGCAGCTGAGGTGCAGGGTATTAGTCCAAGAGGATGTGAGTTCAAACCCTTTGTAAGACAAACATAATTGACATAGGCATACATGGTTGTAAAAACTGTGAACTTCCATTTAACTGGTCAACTGTATGATTTGAGAGCAGAATCGAAATGTATAGAGACTACATATTGCAGCCTCCCGTCCAAGCAGTTCCTCCTGTTGCTGTACTCACATTGAAATCACAATGGTATTTTGAATAATTATGCAGCTTTACATTGATTGAATATAGAAGATGTAAGCTAGTGGCATCAGCTCCTAGCTCTACTGTTTTTAATTGTCTCTGCTCTCCGATCCATTAAGAATATTAAAATATCACCCCTACAAACTTAAAGACACCCTCATCTTAAACCAATTATGTAAGCAAAAGCTGCAATAAAACAGTAGATATAAGGAATGAACATTATTAGAAAAGGGAATCAATGTTCACACAGCATCAGGAATTGCAAAGTGCTTGACATTACACTGCCATACCTTGTATTCTGTTGAGTTTAGCAAAAGCGGCTGCATATCCTCTGCCATATTCTGATGAGCTGTTGAAGGATTTGATGGGAAGGGGTGCTACCAAGCTGTCATCACACTTCCCTGAACCAGCAAGATAAAAAAAAAAGGCAAAGATCACCTTCAGCAGTAAGCTGTCTATTCTATAATAGCAGCTGCAAGGTGACTAGTTTGAGACAGAAATCATCTACACACTAAGGAAATAAACAATGACATTTCATCACAATGTCTGGAATTTTAGGTCACTAGAATCAGAATATAAAAGTACTTTCTCATCAACAAAATTACATTTACATTTTGTCTAAAAATAGTCAACCTTCTGACAGGTTTCCAAAATAGTTTCCAAAATAGTTTTGAGCAGCTGGTGTATTTTTTTTTTCTGGAGCAAATAGAGTGGCTGAACTCTGGGAGGTTATCATGTTGTTACTGAACAAAGTGAAAAACCTTTCCTATTCACTTCAGAAGAAACTAGAAGTGTAAAGGTGATAAGAAAAGGCAAAACTGTTGTATTTTTTTTCTGATTTATCCTATTCACACATCAACTGAATAGGTTCAACTCAGTCCATATCAGCCAGTCTTTCTCGTGGCTGGCTGGAAATGGACTGGGGGGAGGGGGTGGGGCAAAAATTTATTCTTTTCTTTTTCTGAGATAAATGGCAGATTTATTAAGTTCTTTGTTTCTTTTCCCTTTTCATATTGATATTATTTAAATACAAATGTTTCTTCAATGATTTTTTTTTTTTTTGGGGGGGGGGGGATTGGGGGGGGGTTGAAAATTTTCCAAATTTTGGGGGGGCCGGGCCCCCGA